TCAAAATGCTGAGACAGGAGGATCTTGAGTTTGAGGCTGGCCTGGACCAGATATGGAGCTCCAGGCCTAACTGGACAATAAAGAAAGATCATGTCTCAAAATTCAAAACTGAATTTTGAGGTCAGTGAGATAGCTCAGTAGATAAATAAACTTATCACTCTACCTGACAACCTGGGTCTCCAGGTCACATTGTTAAGGAGAGAATCAATTCCTGCAAGTTATCCAGACCTACACACACACACACACACACACACACACACACACACACACACACACACACACACACACACACAATCTCCCTCTCTCTCACATTCTCTCTCACTTTCACACTCTCCTCCCTCCTCCCCTCCCTCTCTCTCTTGCTGTCAAAAAAAAAAAAAAAAAAAAAAAAAAAAAAAAAAGGTCAGGGATGGCCCAGTGATTAAAGTTTTTGCTTCATAGGCATAAGTTCAATCCCCAGAACCCATGTAAACTCTGAGTAAGCTTGGCAGCTTTTCTGTAATGCTAGTCTCTGAAGTCAGAGATGGAATCCCACAGTAAGCTGGCTACTGAGACTACCTGCATGTGAGCTCTTCATTTGACCCTGCTTTGAAAGAAAAAGGCAGAAGAATGGCCAAGGAATATCCCTGACATAGACATCTAATTTCACACTCACACACTTGCACACACCTAAACACACACCACACACACACACACACACAAGCACAGGAGAAAGGTTTAAAATAATATCAGCAGAGGGGTGGTGGCACACACCTTTGATTACAACACTCGGGAGGCAGAGGCAGAGGCAGGAGGATCTCTGTGAGTTTGAGACCAGCCTGGTCTACAGAGCAAGTTCTAGGACAGGCTCCAAAGCAATACATAAAAACCCTGTCTCGAAAAAAGAAAAATAATAATATCAGTAAACATTAGTAAACAAAAAAGAGCCAGGCTTGGTGGTTTGTATCTTTAATCTCAGCACTCCAAAGGCAGCAGGGGCTGGGTTATTGATCTCTGTAAACTCAAGGACAGCCTGGTCTACAGAGTTCCAGGCTAGTCAGAGCTACACAGTGAGACCTGTCTCAAAAAGAAAAAAAAAAAAAAACAAAAAACAAAAAACAAAAAACACAGAAGCTGGAGGCACGGCTCTGTGTTTAAGAGCAGCAAATGCTCTTCCAGAGGAAGAGTTTGCTCCCAACATAGCAGCTCATAACCATCTGTAACTGCAATCCAGGGGATTTACATTTTGGCAAAACACCCATACATACATATAAAAAAAATTAAGTTAAAGAAAATGCTGGAGATTATAGGTGAGAATATAATCTTTCAGGAAAAAAAGAACTATCATGTAATAAGGGAAATGCTTTATAAGAGAGAAGAGAGCCTAAGTATTTCTTTGAAAAGTAAAGAGCCCCACACACCTCAAATGACTTATGGTTGCCACTGCATTATAGTCTACAGAATAAAAAGTGCAACTATGCCATTCATTCATTCATTATAGAATAATTATTTTTTAAATATTAGCATTTATTTGTTTTGTTTGGGAAGGAAGTACAAGTTGCCACAGCATACATGTGGAGGTCAGATGACAACTTTTCAGGAGCCGTTCTCTCCTCTTATCATGTGGGAAGCAGGGATCAAAGTCAGGTTGGCAGGCTTGGCAGCAAGTAACTTTATCCACCGAGACATCTCACCAGTCTCTGAATAATTCACCTTTGTGTGTATTAACATCTCCTGTGTAGGGCTGGGAATCTAGCTAGTGCTGAAGTACATGATAACCATGTAAAAGTTGGCTCCAAATTCAATGTCAGCACCCTTAAAACATCTATCTTCTGTTTTGTTCCATTAGCCAATTCCCAAGCAACATCCAGTTAATTATAATAGGTCTAAACTCTCTCTTTTCACTCTTACCAAAAAAAAAAAAAAAAAAAAAAAAAAAAAAAAAAAACACTTCTCAGGTTTATTCATCCAGGCTTCTAAGTTTCCAGGGGAAAGCAGGGCTTGCTTAGTGGTACATACCTCATGTACTCATGTAATACATACCTCATGTAATCATGGCACTTTAAAGAGCTAAAGAAAGAGAACTGGCATGAGTTTGAGGCTCATCTGTGTCAGACTGTGAACTGCAGGCCAGCTTGGGATAAAAATCTCATCCAATAAACAAATAATAAGAACAAAAGATTTTGGAGGGAGGCAAATGGAGATTTTTATTCATAGCTACTTTTTTAAAAGATTTATTTTACTTTATGTGTCTGAGTGTCTTAGTCCCTATCTAGATGTATGTATACCTCATGCACTCAGTGCCTGTCAATGTCAGAAGAGTCAGAAGATATGGAACTAGAATTACAGAAGACTATGAATCACTATGTGGGTGCTAGGAATTGAACCCAGGTCCTTTGCAAGAGCAACAAGTATTATTATCCACTGAGCCACTTCTCAAGCCCCAGAATGACTTTAAAGCACAGCACAGGGGCACTGGGAGATGGCTCAGTGGGTAAAGAAGCTTACTGGCAAGCTTGTTCAAAATGTTAAGAATTAGAGCAATGAACATACTAAAAGCAACTGGGCATACAGGTCCACCATCAGTTGGGAGGCAAAAGCAGGATGGCAGGTATGTGTGTTTGAGGACTGAAGGGGAAGGGAGAACAACACTCCTCTGGCCTCTGCAGGCACTTACACTCACACATACACACATATACACAGACACACAGACACATCATATAAATCAATCTTTTAAAACAAAAAGAAAAGCAAGCTTAACCATTAGGAAGAAGGAAGGGGGAGTGACACAAAGAGATTGGAGAGCTGGCTCAGCAGTTAACTCTTGCCACTTTTCCTAAGGACCCAAGTACAGTTCCCAGCACTACATCCTTCAGTTCACAACCACCAGTAATTACAGCTCAAGGAAAGCTCATCTTTCAACCTCCTTGGGCACTACTAAAGGTACAAGCAATTGCAACAAAGAACAATCAAGATCAACAAAGAATTGAGAGCCAGTATGGTGACACACACCTGTAATCCTACAACTCGGGAGTTAAGAGGCAGGAGATGGAGAATCCAAGGCCAGACTGTGATGATAATTAGCCCATCCATACATACGATAGCTCCCACATAATCTCACCAGCGCATGGCCACCTCCACTGTAAACAGCCCCTTCAGAGTACTTCTGTATTAATTTAATAAGTAATGAATCTGCTGCATCCACACACTGTCATCACCCAGAGTCTCTAATTTATATTAGAGGCCCCTTTGGGTGGTATAATTCTATGGCTTTGAACAAATGAATAGTCCATACATCTACTACTATAGTTTCATATGTAGTTTTTTTTTAGTGCCTTAAAATTTTCTATGCTTTGCCTCCCTCTTTGCCAACCCTCCCCCGCCACACCCACCCAACACACACACTGGCTGTTATTGTTTCTCTTTCCTTACTGCTTTTTTGAGACAGGGTCTCATAGCCCAGGCTGGCTTTGAACTGATAATTTTCCAACTTCAGCTTCCCAAGGACTAGGATTACTGGCAAGCCCAGCCTTTTGCTGTTACTGGGGTTTTGTTTTGGTTTTTGTCTAATTTTTTTTATTATTATATGGGTGGGTGGGTGTGGTACAGCACATGCATAAAGATGGGAGAGCAACTTGCAGGAGTCACTTTGCTCCTTCTACCATGTGGGACCCAGGGATCAAACCTAGGTCATTAGGGTTGGAGACTAGCTCCTTACTTGCTCAGCCATCTCACCAGCCCTATTTTGTTTTGAGACAGGATCTTGAACAGCCAAGCTGGCTTCAACCTCACTCTGAAGCTGAGGCTAGTCTTGATCCTCCTACTGCCACCTCCCAACTACTGGGAATTACATGCATGTAACATCATGCCCAGCTATTTAATTCCATTTATTGTTACCTGTTTTAGCTTAGGGCCACTAGAATTTCTAAAATACATATGTGAACTGGAGGTATGATTTGGTGGTTAAGGGAGTGTTCAGGTATGCATAAATTTCTGGGTTTAACAAAAACAGCAACAACAACAAAAACCACAGAAACTTAAAGAGGTCATGCATAAGAACTGTACGGCATTTCCTCCATCGCTGTAATCTAACCAGTAGTAGTAAGACAAAGAAAAAGTCATATCAATTTGAAAGGAGGAAGTATTACCAGTTTTCTGGAAGTCAAATATCAGTTTGAGTAGACCATAGTGATGAAGACCAGCAATCCCTGCACTTGAGAAGAGGACACAGAAGAATTTTGTAAATTCCAAGTTACCTAGGCATTTATCTTTCCCAGAATTTAAGAGGCCCAGGCAGGGAGACAGCAGCAAGTTTGAGGCCACCTTGGTCTATACAGCAAGTTCCAAGCATGCCTAAACTATACAGCAAGACTTGTTAAGGAAAAAAAAAGTTTCACACTAAGTTTGCCTTTAGTCCCCATACTTAGGCAAAAGCAGGGGGATTATAGAAAATTCCCACAAATACTATTATAAATTTCAAATAATAAAGTATCTAAATTTGGAATTCCTTACACTATGATGCTAAAAGACTTCTTTTACTAGGCTATAATAGCTGAAATTCTTTCCCCAATTTTCAACTCTCTTTTTGGTGCTCTGTTTTGTTTTTTCCAAAACACGGTCACCACTTAACCCAAGCTGGCATTTAACTTGTTCGCTGAATAGTGGGGCTGTCCTCATACAATCATTCTGCCTCCACCTTCCAAGTGCTGGGGTGAGTAGAGATGTGCAACACTACACCAGGCTTCCCAAAGTTTAACTGCATGAGAGCATCCCATTCCACCAAGACATTCCACTGCTGCCAATCTATAAAACTGACAACCTGAAAGAAGGTACAGCTTGTGAAGCACTGTCCAAAAAAGAGGTAACATTCTAACTTGTGTACTATGAAAACTTGTGTCCTAATTATAACAGACCTTCTGTTTTCACATCACAACAGTCAGATGAAACAACCTGCCACTGACTCAGCTGCTCTCCTTTTCACTTTACAACCTGCACTTCAGATACAAGAACAAGACGAAAACATGACTTTGAAAGTGAGCAGCAGAGCTGATATGGTATGTGTCTTGGCAGGAGACAACAATGAAAACATGAGATGCTTCGGGCTTGGCTGGTGAATATACAAAAGCAAGGCTGCCTTGCCATTATTTACCATGCAAAACCCTCCATGCATAAGTAGCACACTGCCCAGAAAGTGTTTCCTTAGAAAGATCACCTGCCCAAATAACCATCCAAATCTGGCACCATGAATTGTTACAGCCTGTACAGTATGCCAGTTCCTTGTAACTTAAAATATCTGCTTTTAAAAAAGTTTCTACCTACAACTTTCCCACCAACTTCTTCAGCTACAAACTCAAGTTTATACTACAAAATATTGTATTTATCCCCAGGATGAACTCATTTATAAATGACACTCATTTATAAATGACATTTATAAATTGTTAAAATACAAATAATCAACATTTCTGACACATCTTTTCTATTATTCAATAACCAAACAACTATACCCCAGGCAAGGTACTATCAGTCAAAAATCAAATGACACGGATTATTTCACTAAAACAAGTAATAAGGACGATTAGACAGACCCCTTATAATCTCAATCAATTACTTTATAGTCAAAGGCGTGAGTCACCATGTGTCCGGGAGTTGACTGAAGTGCAGAAAACCTTTTGCCACTAAAAACGACTCAAACCAATCCAATAAGGGTCATGTTCATAAACACAAATCTAAGTTTATTTTGAGATCTCCGAACTCCCCAGTCGTACATTAAGAAGGCAGTTTGCCAACTTGTTAACATTAATATGGGGAACAGAGCAGAAAACACATCAGGTTTTTGTAGTTGTAATGACTGAGATACAAAGAAAGGTTTTCCTTTTGTAATTTATTTTAATTCGTCTACAGAAAAGTCACACAAAGCATTCTAGACGAGGTAATTTAATATACATGATTACCTCAACTCAAACGCTTACTGAAAACTTGGCAACTGCACAGTATACCTAAGAATCCCTTCTATCTTACTTCTCCTTGGAAACAGATAGAAAGGGAAGACCTACTCCTACGGTTGAGTGGAGTGTGAGAACATCTAAACTCCAGTTGCACACAATTAAGCAGACTCAGTGGGTCAACTGCTCAGGCTCCAATGCACGACAACCTCTGTAGGCATAATCGCACAAGCTGAGCTTTCAGTACGGGGGATGACACCTTCCCTCACATTTGCTCAAGTAACTACGGTAACTGCCCTAAATTTTCCCGTGTGAAACCAACAAAATGTGGGGGAAGAAAGGGAGGGGGCATTTTTAAAAACTGGGTCATTCCTTATTTGTTCTCTCCAAGCACATTCTTCGGGAAACGGCCTACGAAGCACAAAAAGGGGGGCCGGGGAGGAGAGGTGACAGCATCCCAATACTTTAAAGTTACAGTTCTTCCAAGAGTCGGCACTAGGGGCTCATTAGTTGGCTTTATTTGCGTTTCGTCACTCCGGAGCTAAATGGAGCCTGCCTATAAGTTATCCCCAACAAGGCAGCCCTAAGCATCGGCCCGGGTCCGGCAGACGAGGAAGTTAAGTGTCCTGGATTCACCTGCGGCACCTGCCCGCGCCCCGAAGCCTCCACCTCCGCAGCGTCAGCCGAACCCTACACTCCACCCCAGCTCCCTGGAGGCACCGCCACCGCTCAGCAACCCGCCGGCAGGGCCAGGGCCCCCGGAGTCCGGCTCCCGCCCCACCCCGGCGGCAGAGGCCAGGCCCCGGCCCAGCACCGAAGCGATCCTCACGAGGCCCTCCGGCCGCAGCCCGCGGGCTCCGGGGACCTCCTGCCCGCTGAGCGCTTAGGCCGGCCAGCCCGCCGCTCCCCTCCTCCGACTCGGTGCCGCACGCTACCTGCGCGGCCCGGCGGCGCGGGAGGCATAGGCAGGGCGGTGGTGCGGACTCACCTGCGCCAGCCCCGTCAGCGCCGGCCGGACACTGCAGCTTCCTGGGGCGAGAGAGCGCCGGTTACGCGGCCTGGGCACCCTCAGCAGGCAGGGCCGGGACTCGGGCGGCCCCTCTGCGCCTGCGCCTCCGCGCGGCCGGGTCTCGAGGGGCACCGCCTGCAGCGAGGGCAACTGCCGGCCGAGGGGCTCGCGGGCGCTGCGGGAGGGCCGATGCCTAGGCGCTGCCCGCGGCGAGCCTGTCCCGACCGCGGGCCGCCATGTTTCTGTTCCCTCTTCTTTTTTGCCTTCCCCTCCTTCCGCCGCTTTCCACAGAACACCACTTTCCCTCCCTTCCCTCTCCCTTTCCTTCTGCGGGGGCGGTGGAAAGGGCGCGGGGAGGGCGGGGTCCGAGGTCGGTCCCGCCCCGCTGGAGCCACGCCTCCTATGTTTTAGGCCCCGCCCAGTGGTTGACCCACGCCCCCAGACTTGAACTAAGCCTTGCGCTCAGGCCACGCCCCTGCGCCTGTGCCGGGGCCCCGCGAGCTCCTTGGCTGGCTGCGCAGACCGGGTTTCCGTCTCCTACCCCTCCTCCTGGCAGAGGGACCCATCCTGGCCGACCTCGGGGCTCACTCTAACAGTCCTGACCCTGGCCTCGCAGACCCTGAAGAGAGAGATGGCTAGCACTCCGGGCGCTGCTTGCAGCCTCGCTAGACAGTTCTGTGTTTATCACGGTGGCCTGGAGCAGGTGGCCGCTGCTTCTCCCGACTCGGGCTTTCCAAGACTGGAAAAGTGACACTGAATAGCTCAAGGTCAATGAAAAGACAGCCAAGCGAGACGTGCAGTTCTCCTTTAGGAGAGGCTGGAAATCCCTCTCATAAATGGGTGACTCCAAAGTCCGTGTGACTTCAGGGCTGCGCCTTTACAAGCCAGCCACAGACCTCTGGAGAGAGCTTAGCTGCGCTGGCTTTTGCGAAGAACTCTTTAAAATAATCGGTACCCCGCTGCCTCCCACAGGTAGCCTAGATTTGTAGGTATACATTCTGTCTTCCCTGTAATGCAATTTTGGCAAAACATTTCTGACTTGTTATGCTGAGGGCTGGGGGGGGAGGGGTGGACAGGGTCTCACCATCTATTCCTGACTGTCCTGCGAGTCTATTTGTAAACCAGACTGGCCTCTTCCACTCAGAAAGCCTCCATTGCTGGAATTAAAGACGTGCGCCACCACTCGGTGACAACTTTTTTAAGGTATCAACTTTTCAAGGAACAAATGACCTGAAATAAGTTAACTTTTTTCCTCCTGGCAAAAAAAAAAAAAAAAAAGATTGGCCAGTGACCCACAGCTGACTGAATTACAACTGATAAGATTTTGGGGGGAAGGGGAAACAGGTATAATGAATGACATGTGTGAACATGCCTTAATGAAACCCGTTCCTTTGTATGCAGCTAAAAATTCACTAATTTTATTTATTTACTGTTTTTTGAGACAGGGTTCCTCTGTGTAGCTTTGTAGACTAGGCTGGCCTCGAACTCACAGAGATCCGCCTGCCACTGCCTCCTGAGTGCTGGGATTAAAGGCATGAGCCACTACCATCCAGCATTACTAAATTATTTTAAAAATCTGTACATATCTGGTGAGTACTTCTATATAAAATGATTGTTTTACTAAGAATTACTCCTTATTCACTATTCTTGTTAAAAAGTGGAACATTAAGTCTGATCGATACATGCCTGGTTGTCGATTTATTTCTGAAGTTTACTGCAGGTTTGAAAATTTTTGGCTTTGACTTCTGTAACACACTGTTTTTCTAACAATGTTAGCAGTCAGAATTGACTCAAGAAGAAACAGTGGTATAACTGCGGCTCCATTAGCACCAGTTAGGAGTTAGTCTGGAACCTTGGAAACATCCTAACACTAACAATCCAGATAGCAGAGATTTTAAAGACACATTCTTATTGGAAAACCTAATTTGTGGACTTTGTGAACTTCCTCACCAATGTGAAAATTAATATTTCCAAAATATTCAAATGGAGTTATAGGTTTAGTTTAATGGAAGAGAGCTTATTTAGCCCGCATGAGACCCTAGGTCAGATCTCTAGCTCTGAAAAAAAAAATGTATTGAGTATGTATCATTAGCCCTTGGGCATGAAAGGGCCTCCCCTTCTCCCCAGCCCTGTTCTTTGGTACCTGCAAAAATGGGAGGGGGGTTGTTAGAGAGATGACTCGGTATTTAAGAGTCCTTGCTGTTCTTTCTGAGGACCAGAGCTTAATTCCCAATACCCTGCCCAGAGGCTCATAATCACCTATAACTCCAGTGTCAGGGGATCCAACAGTCTCTTCTGGCCTCCAATGTTACCCATATGTACATATACATATCCTCACAGAGGCATACATATAAATAAAATAAAAATTAAAGCTAAGGAACCCTTAAAAAGCAATGAAGTCAGTGTGCTGGGTGGTTTTATGTCAACCTGACACAAGCTAGAGCATGCACAGGAGAGTTTCAATTGAGGAAATGCCTCCGTAAGATCCAGCTGTATGCAAAATGCCTGTGGAAATTTTAATTAGCGACTGATGGGGGAGGGCCCAGCCCTTGAGGGTAAGACTACTCCTGGACTGGTGGTCCTGAGTTCTAGAGAGCAGGCTGTCTTAGAGCTAGCATTGCTGTGATGAAACACCATGACCAAAGCAACTTGAGGAAAGGGTTTATTTGACTTATACTTCCATGCCACAAACAGGGCAAGAACTGGGAGGCAGAAGCTGATAGATACCGTGGAGGAGTGCTGCTCACGAGCCACTCACATGGCTTGCTCGGCTTGCTCTCTTATAGAACCCAGGGCCACCAGCCCAGGGATGGCACCATCCAAAATGGTTTGAGCCCTCCCACATCAATCATTAATTAAGAAAAGGCCCTACATGCTTGCCTCCAGCCAGATCTTATGGAAGCATTTTCTTGGGTTCTGATGACTGAGGCCTCCTCCCCAATGACTCTAGCTTTTGTCAAGTTGACATAAAACCAGCCAAGACACAGCCTGAGCAAGCCATGAGAAGCAAGCCATTCCTCTATTGCCTCTATCTCAGCTCCTGCCTTCAGGGTCCTTCCCTGCTTGAGTTCCTGTCCTGACTCCCTCCAGTGATGAACAGTGTAAGCCAAAGTCTAACTTTTCATCTAGCTATTCTTTATTTTGCATGTTCTTGATCACTCTTGCACATCCAGGATAAATAAGTTCACTTTGATGTTCAATACAGAAGTATTTGTCTACTCTTACTGAGGAACAATTTGCAGTTAATAGTTGCTCAGGGAATGAGAATTCTTTTTGAGGATGTGGCCACTTGTAGGAGTCTCATGCTCCAGTGGATGGTCCTTCACTTATGGCCATATGGGAAGCACTAACTGGATTTAGTGGATTATTAAACATATACATATAAATAAATAAAAAATAAAACCATGAAGTCAGGGATGGGGATATAGCCAGAATAGGAAGGGTTGGTGTGCTGGGGGGGGGGGGGTAGGTAGGACCATATTTAATTATACATATATGAAACTTGAAAGAATAAAAACAAAATTTAATACTAAAAAATCAATAAAGAGGGCTGAACCCATGGTCCAAGATTGAGAGCACTTACTGCTCTTGCAGAAGAACTGGGCTCAATTCCCAGCACCCACATCAGGTGGCTCACAACCACCTATGCCTCCAGTTCTAGAAGACCCAATGCCCTCTTCTGGCATCTGTGATAAACTGCACAAACATGGTATATTTACAAATGTTCAAACACATGCAAACATACACACATAAAATTGAATAAATCCTTACAAAGTCAATAAAGTATTTGTCTAGAAAGCTGAAAGAGAACTGGAGAGTATGGTGAAATTTTTTTATTAGCTAACAAAGCTTGCTTGAAGATCAGATTGCGAAATTAGCCACACTAGTCAGCCGTAGAAGCCAGTCAGTGCTAGCATACACCTTTAATCCCAGCAACCACACTAGTTAGCTATAGATGCCAGGCAGTGATGGTGCACACCTTTAATCCCAGCACTCAGGAGACAGAGGCTATATGAGAGTGAATCAATCTAAAAGAGAAACAGAGCTCACACCTTTAATCCTAGCACTGGAGAGAATATAAGGCAGGAGCTCAGAGGGCCGTCTCAGGTTGGAGCAGTGCAGTTTAAAGATGCAGTCAGAGGACACAATCACCCCTTTTATCTGAGCATTGGTAGAAGTAAAATGCTTTGTTTTTCTGATCTTCAGCATGAACTCCAACATCTGTCTCTGAGTTTTTATTATTTGTACTACAAGAGGGCCCAACAATGTCATAACTGCTGTGATCATTATAGAATCACAGTTTCACTTGAGTTTATAGATACAAGAATACATACAGGCCAGTCATGGTAGCACTCAGGATGCAGAGACAAGTGGATCCCTGTGAGTTCTAGGCCAGCCAGGACTACATAGTACAACCCTGTCTCTAAATAAATACATACATAAGGAATGAGGGGGTAGCTCAGTTGCAACCCTCTGCCTAGCAAGTGTGAGGTGCCAGATGTGATAATACCCAACATCACAAAAAGAGGAGGGGTGGGAATATGTAGGGACAATCAGGCCAACCATCTGAAAAAGGAAATGACTTTATAGCCAAAAGCTCCTCCTTACCCTCTGGTTACTGTACATTCCTGTAGATTTGCAATGCAAAGGAACTAAATGCAAATGTGATTTTTTTTTTTTCCTTCAAATAGGCAAGAGGTTTTGGTGGCCATCTTTACTGCTACATCGTTTTGTTATTTGTTTTTCGAGACAGGGTTTCTATGTGTTGCTTTGAAGCCTGTCCTGGAACTCACTCTGTAGACCAGGCTGGCTTCAAACTCACAGAGATCAGCCTGTCTCTGCCTCCCAAGTGCTGGGCTTAAAGGCATGCGCCTGGCCTTTTACTGCTACATCTTACAGATGTCATTTTCCTCATTCTATCTACTCTCTTCAAAATCTTCGGAACATTGCCCTGTGGGGACAAGGTCACATGTGTGTTCCTATGACCTTTTGTCTATTCCAGGTGCACAGAACCTATCATAGTAACACATGTATAGTGGTCTTAAAAATAATGAGTGTGGGTGAGGAGAGGCGTAAGCATGTAGTTCAGAGGTAAACATCATAACCAAAAAGCAAGTCGGTGAGGAAAGGGACTTAATTGACTTATACTTCTACATTGCTATTCATCACTGAAGGAAGCCAGAACAGAAACAGGACA